ATACTCTTAGCACCTTCTCTTGCATACAGAACTTTATTCATGAACTGCAGCAATATTTGAACAACTTCAGCTGAAAAATATTAGGGGGTGATTGGAAGTGGGTTATTTTGATTTTGTTTTGATTTATTGAATAAAGTGAGTTTGTATTTTATATTTAAAATATAATGATAAAAGCTGATTTGATGTAAAAGTAAGAGAGGAGTGATTATAAGTGATGTGTAGTTAAAATTATGCGGGGAGATGAATAGTGAATTAAAGTTGATGTGATGGGTGAGGATGATTAACTGATATTATTTAGTTATACTATTGGGGAAAGTAAGATTGAGTTAAGTTTGAGTTAGATTGTCAGTTAAAAAGGTGTAAATGATTGATGAGTGTAGTAACCAAAAACATTACTTGAGCAAGAATCACGATAAAGGATACCGTGATATAGGCTAAGGCTGTTAATTGTAACTCGTCTTCTATTATATAATTTCCAATACTTCAAGGTTCTAATGCTATGAGGAATTTTACTCTTTCACAAAGAACAATAACATTGCAATAATTTAGGAAGCATATGATATACCCACTTCCCTAACTGCAGAAAAAGGAAGAAAAGTTCTGGTTTTGGTTTGCCATTTCCACCGAAAACAACAAAAGGTGCATCTACCTGATTGTAGAACTTTTCTGGGTTTTCTTCTCTCATATTATGGATTTCCAGAGCAACCTTTGCATCACATCCGACCCCTACAGCGACAGCCATTATTCACAATGATGTGATACGTATCATTTATCAAAATATATTTAATCTGCATAAATTCCAAGTTTAGCATTCAAAGCTACTTTACATAAGGTCACAGTTGAAGCTATGGTAAAATGAGAAGCCAATCAAAACCACAGAAGTAAAATATGCCAAATATATGTTCCCATACATCAAATACATAATAAATGAAAAGAGTAAACAGCTCAACCGTTGTCTGTTAGAAAATAATGATGCGATTTTTCACGTACTTTAAGAGAAAACGTATTGAAAGTCTTGTAATTTGTAAAACCGAGTAACACAAATAAAAATTAAAACACGGCTCACGAAGTAATTACCAAAAACAAACCAAGATAGTTGTTCATAAATATTGAAGACAAAGGATGTTTCCCTTACTATCAAGTATCAATTATATTTGATCTGCATAAATTCCAAGTTTTAGCATACAAAGCTACTCTACAGAAGGTCACAGTTGAAGGTACGGAAAAATGAGAAGCCAATCAAAACCCCAGAAGTGAAATATGCCAAAGATATGTTCCCCAGACATAAAATACATAAAAATGAAAAGAGAAAAAAAAAAACTAATCCATTATCTCTGTTGGAAGATAATGATGTGATTTTTTCACGTACTTGAAGAGAAAACTTATTGAAGTCTTGTAATATGTAAAACTGATAAACAATCAATCAACAAGCCGTTAAAATCCCACTAGTGGATCGACAATATGGATCACATGTTGCCATCGTGCTCGATGAAAACACATATCCTCATTCAAATTTTAATTTTTAAAATTATTTTTTATTGTCTCCTACCAAGTTTTCTTAGGTCTACCCGTCCCCCTTTTAATTTGCTTTCTTAATTCTAATGTAAAACCGAGTAACACAAATAAAAATTAAACATGAACAAGAAGTGATTGCCAAAACATACCAAGATAGTTGTTCATAAATATTGAAGACCGAAGATGTTTCCCTTGCTGGTTTAAGATCGATACCTTCCATCGATCAAGAATTGTAACTGCAGCATGCTCGATATGATCTAAAAGTGTGCATAGACCTCCTTGCCTCTCAACCGAGCGCAAACCACCCCCCCAAGAAAGAACTCGGGCTAAATCATTTCCGGTTCCTGCAGGAAGGATGGCCACTGGTGGAGGAGAGATAAAATTTTGCTTGTCTATGGCATTCAATACCCAGCCAACAGTACCATCTCCTCCGCAAACAAGTATACGGAAATGGGGCACTTTTCTAAATAAGTTAAGTCCAGCTTCTGGTCCTTGCGTTGAGCTTAACTCAAAAACCTAAAACAAAATACGAATGGGGACAATCATTGACAAACAAATGAAGTAACAGGGATATGAGTTAGAAGTTAGAACCCAACAATTCACCGAGAGAAGGATAATGAATGATGGCAGGCAAATAAATATCTAAAGCTTCCGGGATCAAGACTCTCATTAAGGAAAGAGAACGAAAGTCCATTTAGACTTGTAACTTTCATAAATACTTCTTCATCCCACCAAGAAGAATCAGTGAAAAAAGTCACGAACGCAATCCTGCACAAATCTGAGGTCCATATAATGTAATAGAAATGGATTTCTAAAGATTAAGATCTTGCTGCTACTCATCATCTCTATGATACCTTAGATTTTTTTTTTTTTCTTTTTATCTTGTAAATGTCAGTAATGGAGTATACTTTCTGCGAAGCAATTCATACATAGCGTGACGTTATCAACCAACAAATGAACACCAAAAATTTCCATGCATTTAAAAACTTTAGTTCAATTGATTACTAAACTACATGATCTCCCATGATATCTATAAAGTTATAATCAAACCACAGCAAGCCAATTCCAGTCAAAGTAGGACCTCTAACGAAAGCTCTAACCTGTAATGGATTCAGAAGAATGTTCAATCTGAGCTTGAGCGAATCTCCTCTCTGCGCCCCACTCTTCTTGTTGATAAACACCAGGAGCGGCCTCGCATCTGGAGGCAGATCAACCAATTCATACTTCTGCCTCATTCCATAAGAGCCGTCCTTATGATTAACCGATGAGCTTCTCTTAAAACTCCCTTCCTTTTCCATTTTTTTTATTTCCTCATGCTGATGATCTGAATTCTCCAAATTTGTCCCGCCGTTATAACTATCTTCGGTTCTACGAGGACTGTTGACCATCTCACTTGCATCCCCGGAAGCTTCACTCATGTTACTACTATAATTACCGTTCTCACCAAAACCCTCATTCCCATGCTTGTACTTCTTGCTCTGACTTCTAATACTCGCACGTACAGACGAAGCAATCTCATTAGCTCCTTGAGTGATGGAACTCAAAATTCCTCCAGAATAATTCAGCTGCTTAACGTACAATGGAGAAAGGACAATCCTTTTGTACGGGCCAAGGTCACAAATATCACCAGTCTCACTCGACATGCTCCCGTGGCAATCGACATGTACCAAACGCTGGCACCACAGGCAGCACCATATTGGAGATCCCCCGAGGAAAAATCCACTGCACGGCTCCTCACAGTAGCTACAGAACGAGGACTCGTCGAGCTGGTCAGTTACCTCTGTCCACCTCACTGCCCATTGATGAACCACATGTTTGTAGCCGAACATTGAAATGCACTTGCAGTCTTTGTGGGCATTAGCGGAGCAGTTCATGTGAGCAGCCGCACCACATATGCTGCAATGGTGTACGAAACTATCTGAAGCTACTATTGGGCTGAGAGTCTGGGAATGTGAGATGGGCCTAAAGCAAACACAGCAGTTTAAGCTTTTGCCCCGAGTGACTGATTCAAGAACCCAAGTGTGGGGAGCTACTGCAGCTTTGTTCTTTGCCTTTGGGTTTTTCTTTGACCGAGCTACGGCTGTCATCCAGCTAAGACTAATGTTTCTTCTCCATTGGAAAGCCGTGTAGAAAATAGTTAAGATCCCTACCAAACCGGCAAGAAAGCAGGATACAATGAAAAGATATGATTCGGTCATTTCAGATGGGTTTTTAGTTATCCAGTTGGGAATAAGAGCTTCTGATTCCCTGTAATCATCCATGTTTTGGAATTTACTGTTTGCACTGACGATCGAGCTACGTCCACATTTGCAGTTGAGGACAATGGAAGATTTGGATTTTCATTCTATATTGTCAACTGAATTCGACAGCTCTACTTAGAAAGACGTGTGCTGAAATATGATGAAACTTTGTTCATCAGAGGTACGCGTAAAGAAAAAAGCCTTAACGAAAAAGAAACGGACGTTAGTAAGAAGTGAGAATGGCATGTGAGTGCACACAAATTAATACCCACACATACTGAAAACGCGTGTCAATCGTGACCGAGCAGTTTAGTTTCCACGATTTTAACAATCAGAATCTTCTACAACGAGAATGTGTGCAACTTTTAGAAAGATCGCCTGCAGTAGCCAGTAAGATACACCATATCCAGTTTACATGTAATAGCATAATTTATAATTTCCACAATTCAAGAGGACCAATAGAACCGTCAAAACAACTCTATTGGCTCAACATTCATCTTACCCACGATTGCAAATCAGAAACAGTTTCAGACAAACTTTACCACACGAAAAATAAAGAAAGAATAACTGTGCGCATGCCTTAAACGTGAAGCAACCCCATCAAAATGAAACTCAAACAGGTATCATCACTCATCTTAGCCTCGATTGCCAAACGAAAATAATCTCGAGCAAACTTCACTAACACAGAAACATAAGAAAAGAACAACACTGCGCGTGCCTCAAGCATGAACCAACCCCATCAAAAACGAAAACCCAACTAAAAATAACCAGCAGATAGCCATTAAAAAGCAAAAATTACCGGCGAATTTCAAAGAGATACTTGCGGGGTGATCGGAAAGCGGCCGGCGACAACGAGTAAACCCTAGAAACAGCGAGGAGGAAATATGGGTTTCTCCATTAAGAAGGGATCAGATACGCGCGAGCGGTGAAAAAGGGAAAAAAGGGCACACAAAAAGGGCAAAAAAATTGTTCCACCAAAAGCTATTATTCTGTGCGAGTTTTAAAATCATACGAACGCCATTGTCATCAAAATCTTGACATTGTTTGATCTTTTTTATTACGCAAACTTTTTGGGAGATTCTACAGATTGAAGGTTCCCTGTGATGTGAACACACACACACACACACACAAAGGTGGGTTCTTGGGAAAATGGAATATGAGGGGGACACGTGGCGGAATAAAGAAGTCCCAGATTGCAGGTGGGACCCACTTAAATGGGGGTCAGCCATCCTTGCTTGTTGCTTTCATAGTGAAACAGTAATTTTTTGCAAATAAATTATTATTAACGGAACAATTTGGTCGAGATTTGTATTATTAGATCATCATATAATAGTTGATCTAATGGTTATAAATCTTGAAAAATAGTTCGTAACGGGACCGTAGATTCTCCCTATTATTTTATGGATGACACGATGTTATTTAAACTAGTATCGTGGCCCGTGTAAATGCACGAAATTATTAAAAATAAATGAAATAAGGAAACATAAATAGAATAAATAATTTTTATATGCAATTAAAATAGACTACTATATAAAATGTTTATATCTATATATTTTATTTCTCATTATATATCAGTATCTTGTGTCTTTTTATTTGTAACTCAAGAAGCAACAATGTAAAGTTCAGTATATATCAGTATCTTGTGTCTTTTTATTTGTAACTCGAGAAACAACAATGTAAAGTTCAGAATTAAAAGCCTAAAAGTAGATTCCTATATATGTATTCTTTAATTTTTTTTATTAATAGAACAAATTGACATATTATTATCGAATTTTTTTCTAAAACCGTTATTTAATAATGAAATCTAACGATGTGGACCAAAATTTATTGATAAACGAAAAGTTGAGTAACTAAATTGATTTAATTGGAACATCATGTACTAAATGTGCAAATATATATAGTTGGGGCATAAGAATTTTCTCAAATTATTTATTATCTTATCACATTTTATTACAGTTTGTTTGAATTTATCATGTAATTTAAATCGTATTTTGACACTTGAATATATTATTTCTCACTTGTTTGGTTTTATAATTTACAATGTAATCTTATTTATTAACTATTATTTTCTATACATATACTTACAATTTCTTTATTTGTGAACCATTCTCTTATTTAAATAAGTACCATATTATTATCTAGTATCATTATATTTTTAGGAAGACTTTAAATATAAATTATTATTTAACATACATCATAAATAATTCAACGTGATTCAGCATATCATGTACATGTAAAAATAAATTTACTTTTATATTAATAAAAAATCAAAACAGACAAAACATTTTAAAATGCCTATCTATAAATGGTAATAATAAATTTAGGTCCATTTTTACTATTAACTTATTATTAAAAATGAAAAAAAAAATAATTAATGGAGGTTGAAGCACGTTTAATAAAATAATAAAAAATTGGAACTAACTTTCCATAAATAGTAATATAATAAGGGACCCACTAAAACACTTACTATTTTTAGTAAGTGAGTTGCCTAATTATATAGTAATAGATGTTTCTGAAAAAAAAAAAGAAATTTGTGAATAAAAATTTAAAATACAATTCAAAGTAATATAGTATAAATAATCATAGTGATTAATAGTGTATTTTAATTATATATATCGATATTTCCTATTATTTTATTTTTAAATAAATAAATATATATATTCCGAGTAACATCCACTAATCAAATCAATTATTTGTTATCAAATGATTCAATGGCACAAAAGTTGTCAGATCTCCTTTATGTACGAATTACTGACGCACCTAAGTTGTTTGAGCTACCTTTTGTTCGGGCTATAAGCACACTTAAGTTGTCCGAGCTATAGACGTGCCCAAACTCTCCGAGCTACTTGATCACCTGGAAGTGATTGATACAGGAACTCATTTAAGTGTTTCGGTCTGTGGATCGACTCTGTGACGAATTTTCAACGTGCTTGGAGAACCCATTGATAATTTAGCCAGATCACAAACCAATGAGGCATCTTGTTCCACACGTCCTTCTTTATCCTTGGATAGATAGCAATGTAAGGGCCTTTGATCCATGCTCGACTTCAAGGAGATCAAAGTGAGACTCGACACTGCAAGGAGAGGAGGGGAAATAAGTCCAATTACAAAGAACCATGTTGGTATTGAGTTGTGCCCTTCCGTATTGACGTGCTCTTAGGTGTTATGATTGTATGTGTGATAACATCTACCATACTAAGAATATGAGTGAACTTGATTATTACAATGGCTCAGGATACTTTTTTTTTAGGTCATTCCTTTATCTCTATTATAATTATAGAGATTTTAGACAGTATTGTCAAGTGTCAAATGCAATTCATAGACATAGATTCGATTTTGTATTCACAGATTTCGTCGTTTTCACCCTTTTTTTATCTCTATTATAATTATAGATATTTAAAATAGCATTCTCAAGAGTCAAAAGCAAATCATAGACATAGATTCGATTTATGTTATTCATATATTAGAAAAACTATAATTATAACTGATAATATCAATTTTTAACAAATAATAAAAACTAATATTTATTTATTATAAACTACATTTTATCCACCATATGTTTTTGAAAAGAGTCCCAAAGTTGGATTTTTTTTTAACTTAAACCCATAATATTTTTTCAAAACAAATAATAATATTTGTTATCTAATTTTTTTTTATTTGTCACACCAATTTCAATTATTATATCTAATTAGATCATTACAATCACATCCCTAT